CTCTCTCTCTCTCTCTCTCTCTCTCTCTCTCTCTCTCTCTCTCTCTCTCTCTCTCACACTCTCACACACACACACACACACACACACACACACACTCTGACTCATCCACATGCAAGCACGTTGCCTCATCATACCTCCACATTAGCATACATGCCAGCCAACAGCGACAGACATCTGAGGGCCAGACACATATATACACACACACATACACACATGGAGACAGACACACATGCACATGCGTGCGCTCGACCCACACACGTGCACACACGCGCGCACATGCGGATGGATACCCCAATGAGCATGCACAGAAGAAAGTGACGGAAAACAAATGTGCTCCGCCTTTGTGGACATATGGCTACACTGCTCAGGCAGGTGTACCACATCCCGCCATGATACTGTACGGAAGCCTTCATTCACCCGTAGCATCTGAATCTGGACAGACCTGACCAAAACCCTCGCCCTCATTTTCTAGGCGAGACCACCTCACTGCATAATGCCCTGAAATATCCCAGATGGATATAAAGATAGTTCAAATCACAGCGACGGCTGCAAGAGAGACACAACATCCTAGAGAAAAACAACAGGCCCATCAGTAAACCAGTTTAACAGCCTGAAAGCCCCACCTGTTGCGCTCTTCAATATCTCTCTCCCAGCGAAGTGCATTGTATTGCTCTGGAGTCATTGGTGTTCGCAACGCAATGTGCCCTGGAGTTGGTGTCGCTAGGTCGGCTGCACCAAGTGGCGTCACCCCAGGGGTGAACATGCTCGGGGTTGCACCGGCCGTGGGTGTGGCACTGCCCATCGTCGCTGGCGTCTCATCCCAGCGTGACCGTTGGCGCTTAGGCGTTGGTGTAGCAATGCCAACCTTTGGAGTTGCATCCCAAGTCATTCCTGCAGGCGTTGCGCCAGGTGTCATGCCCGCGGCGGGAGTAGAGTCAGAGTCAACAAGCCGCCCTGGTGTAGGAGTTTCATCCCACCGATTCCGTCGTGCTGGCGTAGGTGTTGCCTCGATACCAACACGCCCTGGGGTGGGCGTTGCGTCCCACCGGCTGGGCCCAGGTGTCGAGTCCGGTGCGTCCCATTCTGAAGTGACCTTTGGCTTTTTCAATGCATCCTCCGCTCCAGCTTGATCCCAACGGTTCCTCCTCTTGACACCTGCAGTGTGGGGAATAGGTGCTGGCACCACACCTACTGATTGCTGAGCTGGCTTTATAGGTTTCGAGAGAGCCCCTCCGCCTTCTTTCCTCTTCTCTTCTTCCTCCTGCTTCTTCTTAGCAATCAACCGCAAAGTCTCCTCCTTACCCCTCCTAACAGCTTCCTCTCGCATAACATCAGCATATGTACGCAATGAGGCATCCGGTGTCTTATCACCCTGTTCAAAGCACATGCCAGACAGGCGACATGAGTTAAGAAGCAAAATCCTAAACCACTCACCAAAGAAACGTGTTGTTCCAATCCAAAATCACACAACACCACTTTCAATTCAAAAATCACGCAACACAACTTCCGGAAGAACCAGCAGATGAAAGAACTAGAACTAGCTCAAAGAAAAAGAAAAAAAAAACTGACCTGCTATTGTTGACATACGATGTTCTACCACACACAACCAAGGATACCCAAGACTGGTAACCAAAAATAGCCACTGACATGCATGTCTGCTCGGACGTGCATACTGGAAAGTGACCCAACTTGTCAATCAATCAACAAAGCAAAAAAGAAAAAAGAAAAAAGAAAAAAACAGAAGAAGAAGAAGATCCACTAGCATCATCCATATGTGGGCCTAACAAAACAAGCAGTTGAATAAATCGCACTCACAGACGAAGAAACAGGAATGAAAGGCTTAGGCACTCGGAACCAACCACAAATGCAAAAGTTTGAACAGACTAAAGAAAGGGGGGAGGGGGAAGGGGAGAGGGAGGGCGGAGGGGTCACTCCACACACTAAGAAGCCGCCACATACAGATGTCTTCTCTATTAACTAGAGTTTAATATAGTTCGAAGTTTCTTCGAACTGCTATTAGGATTCACTGGCCTGCTGCGGATTCGCTGGTCAAGTAAAGGAGAGTCTGGACATAAACGCATTTTTATTTTGAAAGTTCGAACAGATATATAACAGGCGTCGTACAGAGTTCTTTGAACAAGTTTCCATTTTTTAATATCATTAAATATTTAATGTAACTTGTAATAACAACTATGGTTAGAAATGGAACGTTTTTGCTAGTTATTCCTTCTCAGTCGTAGCAGGAATGGCCCAAACGCACCTCCTCCCAGATGCCATCTCTCTCTCTCTCTCTCTCTCTCTCTCTCTCTCTCTCTCTCTCTCTCTCTCTCTC